TACGCTCGATAAAGGGGAGGACGGCACGTAAAAATGTAAAAGCGCCGGGGGAATTCTTACCTGTTTGGCGGACAATAATGTCGCGCCATTGCCGTAACGAAGTAACGACAATGGATTATTAGCTGTGAAGGCAATATCCTGTCATCTGTTTCTATATAGTAGCTAGGTCGCACGAAATGGACCTACATTTTCTCTCTGCTTGTATCTTACGCGGCAATATATCACCAGCTATCGACAACAGCGACATCGTGTAATTAGAAGGTCGTCTCGCGTCTTTTGGAAACGCGTCACAACCTCTCTAAATAAATGTGTCCCTTTTTTACCGACGAATTAGGGTTGCGTCGGCTACGGAGACGTTCTGAAAAACGATATAAATGGTTACTATTGCGAGACGCGAGATGGACTTTTGACTAACTTGAATCATACGTGATAAACAATAGTCTTCGTACACCTTGCGAGATGGGTAATTGTCTTAACCAAACTTTTCGTTTCAACTCAGAATATTTGTTTTTATTCTTGTGGATATTATGTGACAGAAGAGTGATTCTCAAAAATATTGTGATACTTGGAATATGGAAGCCTCAGCACTACCTATGCCGCAGAGTATCGACAAAATGAGGATGTTAAAAGAAAGATGAAATCTTAGAATATATTCAGATTCGTCAACGTGCAAAATAATAATTATTTTACAACGGCATTTATTACTCTACGAACATTTTTGAAGGAATAAAAGAAGGAATTACGAATATATCGCGAAAATGACCTCTTTATAAAACTGTGAAAATACTTTCGCAAGCGACTATGTATTTTTTAAACAAGTTAAAAACAGACGTTCGAATTCGTTGAATTTGATTTCCGTTATATTTTTTTCCTTTTTTTTTTTTTAGCGGTGTACGCGTGTGTGAAAAAGGGAAGACAGAACAAAGAGGCGGGAAAAACGGGGGAATTTGTTTCGACAACGGCGATGCATTAGTGATGCAAATGAAGTTACGTCGTTGTCGGAATTTTTATGTGTTTTTCCACGCTGGCCAGAGCAAATTTTGGCTCGCTTTCAAACCGAGCCGCCGTACGTGGCGAAATCATCGACCAGACCGGTGTGCTTTTATTTTCTCGTGGCTGTCTCGTGTTCGCGATTTTACGGCATTCACTCGCAGTATAACCTCGAAAAATCACTATGGACAAAAGTGGAAGAAAATTCGCCACGTTGTTTGTGTTGCCTGTGTGTTTAAGTGAATTTAATTAAAATTCATTCGCGTTACAGTCAAAGTCGTATTTACACCGAATTACATTTGTTGAAATTTACACGGAGATATGCATACATACATTCGTCCAACAACCAGGGAAATTTATGGAAAAGTGTTAAAGAAAGTATGATTTTAAATATTGCTCCTGCCGATTGAAAAATGACGCGTTTATGCATATACGTATACGATGCAAAATATTTTGTACATCTCTCGCACATTTGCCACCTCGTTAAATATACCATCACGTGCTAAACGTTATCTTTCTACAACATTAGAGCTGCATTCGATAAATCAGAAATATAAAACTCCTCTCCCCTTCCGCCTCGCAAACTCGTTTCAGGACATTTATTTTAAAATAAACACGAATTAATTTCACGCGCTGTACTAGGAAGAAACGTTGACGGTTACTGCTCTGAACACTGGTTTCAATAAAAATGGTTAATTGAGGTGAGGTAGCATAAATGAAGTTTAAATTTAAACCAGAGGGAACCCAATGTAAATATAACTCAAGCTGTAACAAAATTTATGCCTAATCCGAAGGTAATTCATGTCAATCCAGACTTAACTCAACGCCACACCTAATTTAAATTAGGTAAACTTTGAAACGGACAACATCTAATCCGGCTCGAAACCAGGTTGAACCTGATTTAACTTAAGCCTAACCTAAACACCGTCTAAATCTAACCTAACGCGGTGCTAACTCATCCTGAACTTGGTCTAATCCTGATTTAACTTTCACCTAACCTAATTCACATCTAACTTGGACTTAACTACAGTTAGTCACTGAACCGTTCGTACACTCTTCAAAGAAGAATAACTTTTTTAAAATTGGACCAAACGGCTTGAGCTTTTTTGAGAAATTAGAAGAATTAGTTTACTAGATGACCTGTAAAAAGAATTTTGGAAAAACTACAGTTGGTCGCAATCACGTAGAAAATAGTGAAGGTCGCTTTTTACAACTTTTTTATCTGAGCCTGTAATGAAAAGAAATACATTTTGTAGATTTATGCCAGCTATATATATGTTTAAAATTTTATCGAAATTGGTAAAATTTGATCGAACCAACCGCGAATTTTCGCTAGTCCTCATACAGGCTCCCATTTAAATATATAGAACCTCTGACCTAAGCCCCCCCACGGGTCAAAGACGCGTGTCTCCTAGAATACCTTACCGACGAGTCCACTAGGAGGCCCAAGACGAGACGTCTCACAACCTTTCCTTTTCCGCCTAACCTCTCTAGCATTTTCCTTCATCCCTTCAGATTTATTACAGTTATAGGCAGAAGTCGTGAAATACTGCAATTTTCACAATTTTTAACCGTTTGTAGCTCACAGCAATCTTAACCGATTTCGACGAAAGTTTCAACATGTATGTATATATGTAGCTGACATAACTTTACAAAATGAATTTTTAAAATTTTTTTTACCTGCTCAGATAAAAAAGTTTTAAAAGCGACCTTCACTATTTTCTTCGCGATTCCGACCAAATGCAGTCTCTTCAAAATTCTTTTTACAGATCATCTATGTAGTAAACGAATTCTTCTAACTTCTCAAAATAACTCAAGTCGTTTGGTCCAATTTAAAAAAAGTTATTCTTTTTTGAAGGGTGTATGAACAGTTCTGTGACTGACTGTAATTCAAATCTAATTATAAGATTAAATAAAGTCAGTGGAAAATTTATTTTCCTAACTAAATTTAACCTTTAATCGAAACAGACTCTAATTCACTCGTGACTCGTACATAAATATAAATCTAAAAATATATAAAAGTTGTTACAAAAAGAAAAAAGCGAAATAAAAATGCACAGACACATTTTTTTCTCTAAAACCAATCCAACAAAGAAACAAAACTGGCGCCAAGTTTCTTTCACCAATGAGAAATCATCGGCGTTTCAATTAGACACAACGTGTACAATATGGCCGTCACAGCAATGGATGGTTGGGCGTTCGTCGTGAGCGTGGTGAAAGTAAGGGAAACGCAATACCGGTCGTACGTATTATGAAGTCGTCGTCGTCGTCGTCGGCGTCATCGCCGTCGTCGTCGCCGCGATATTGTGCGCGTCGGAATTGTGTCGGTGTGTGGGCGGGCGTGTGTGTACACGTGTAACTCGACAAAGAATGCAACCACGAAAGCGAAATGCACACGCTGTACATAACAGCGAGGCGCAGACAAATGTCGATGGCGAGCAACAAGTGTCGAGGGGTCTTTACTTCTGACAATGAGCACAAAATCTGGCTGACTCGAATACGCGAGTACAAGCTGGAGGAGGAAAAGGTGGAGAAGCACGGGGACTCGTCGCAAAGCTTCCACATTCACAATTAGCGATCACGCAAATTCGGCTCTCCTTTCATTCATCGTTTAACTCTCTAGCCGCGTGTAAATGTGTCGTGTTCCTACTTGTTGTGTCTATGTATTACTCTGTCCTATGTGTACGTGAATATTTGTAGGTTAGAGAGTGCTATACGTGTAATCGCGGAGTTTTAATTCAGAGTCGCGGTATGTCGTGTGCCACGTGTCACGCGAAACAAGCATGAATCAACTTATAAGCATTGTAATTGATAATTGGTCAGGAAGGGGAGAGTGTGGTTAATGAGCGATTAATGATAAGTGTTGCGATCGCGTTCCGTCGGCCACGCGCGGAATTTTGGCCGTTTCTTTCGTGCCTCCCTCGCGTTTGCCAAGAAACCTCGATGCCTATCACGATCAGATATCACGCTTCTCGTTTGCGACCGTCATGAAACCATGTGAAATTGAATTTGCTTAGAGAGTGTAACCAGTGATAGATTGAACGTTGTTTTTTCGTCGAATTGAGGGTTTTTAGGTTATGGGAGTGTTTGTTTTGGGTACGTGCGAGACGATGACACAATGACTGCCGCTGTGTTGCGATTACGTATATGGATCATTTTTCTGTTTACATTGTAAACTGTAGCCATATGGGTGCGTTCACATTTTTTAACGATTATATCTTGTTTTATGTAGTTGTTTAAATTGTATTTTGCTCATGAAAAAATATTTTATCTGTATTCTGCAGTTTGTGTAAAAAAAAAAAAAATGAAAATTGACGAAGTATGTTTACTTTCTGCCTCATATTTTTTACTTTATCGCGAGTATTCAGCCGTCTCGTCGAAGCTTACGTAAATCAAGCCTCGTTCGAGCAAAGAACGATTTCATTCAGAGATCATTTCACATTTCATTTGACGGAAGATTCCATGGTCCTCGTAAAATTACACGGGACCTTTATTCGATAAGTTTTTCACATTTCATTTGACGCAGGATTCATCGGTCCTCGTAAAGTTACTTCCGCGGAACCCATCGTCCGATAACTCTTTTTCCCTTGGTGTTTTATTCGCCGCCATATTCCCTTCGAGTCTCACGAAACTCCCGCGAAATCACTGTTCGATAATCGCGTCAACGCTAACCTCTCTCGAGATAATCGAACATGACATGGTACGATCTTTCGTGTGTATAACTCGTTTCAGAATGGCAACAACGTTAATTTTATATGAATATCCTTCGTTGTATATTGAAATAAAACTAAAGATAACAGAATATACGATAAACCTTTCATATAGTGTAATATATAAGACGTTTCAAAATCGAAGTAAGGATTTATTGATTTTATGTTTAAAAATATAGAATCAATTAGATACAGACGTTTTCAAAATAAAATTAACAGAATACAAAATGAAAATGAAGGTTAGTCAACTACATATGAAAATAAACGTAGGATTAACAAAAAATGAGTGAAATGAAGAATTCAAAAAACTAAAGAGCGGCAGTGTCCCTTTATGAAAGTTTGATTAGCAGGACATCTGCGTGGTAGGTCTATCAACATCCTGTAAAATGCGTCTATATTCTCTGTGTTTGGCCCTTCCGTAGTAGTCGTGGTGGTTGTACTCTGAATCCAGAACGGCTGAAAAATGGAGTTCACTCTTTTGCCAGTTTCATTGATTTTTTCTCTCACATCCTTCACTATTCCTTTAGTAGCCTGGAAGAGCTTAGAATCCTCTGGAAACACTATGTCCTGACAGGTCCGCTGACGGGAACTAGTTATCGCGATGAGCAAGAACAAGCACACGTAAAAACGATATACTTGGAGCCCCATTTTAGTACTGTTTCAATGGACCTTGAAATAAATATAAATTATCACCACAAATAAACTAGTCTGTATGATGAAATTAAAAATCAACATCCGTGTTTTTTTTTGAAACGACCTGTACAAACTGCCTACCTTCCCAATGACACTTTTAACAAAATTTCTCCCCGGCACTTCGATGTATCAAATTCACGTTTAAGGTAAACGTTCACCTTTTATGAAACAGCCTATAGTAAGATAAAAATTAATAAATAACCTCTCTCACACTCGTGAAATCTCTGTCCACAGATAATTGACCGATGAACGAATATTACATTCAAGTCACCTACGTGAAGGTCATCAGTCCACCATTTATGTAACAACCTGTAGCGAAATCAGTGCACGTAACTAGACTCACGGCAACATGTACTGACAATTACTAACGAAGTTGTTGTCTAACAGTTATTCAACGATTTATTATCAGGACACAGTTGATGCTTTTTCCTTTCGCGACGTTCACAAGGTCTCTCGTATGTGGTACCCCTTTCCCTATAACCTGTCAGTCTGCGGTGTAGAATGAAATAAACAGAATCCAGGTCGCCAGCGTTCGCAGACGAAGTAACCCGTGCAAATACTACGATTACTCTGAGAAAGAGAGAATGGTTAGACGACGACGACGGAGTTGCGAGAGATTGTGGCAGGCACGGGGAGAAGAGGGGAAAAGTTAGACTGCCAGTCTCCCAGCTTCGTTCAGCACGGCGTATCATTTTTTATTGCGGTCAAGAGAGCACTCTGTTATCTGTAAAGAGAATTTGTATCGGGATAAATTGTTTGGCCGGATATCTCCTCCGACCCCGTTACCCGATCCGTTCTTATCTACCGCGACCCGTTTCGCTTCTTCTTCTTCCTCTAGCGTGTCAGGTTACCTGTTCATTTAATCAGCTGTTCCTTCGTTCTGCCATGTTGTGTTGTAGTTCGGTCGAACGGTGGCGCTTTCTGGCGGTGTCTCGCAGATGAGTGTAAATGGCAGACAGGAGAGAGACACGCGGGGCTTTGCGTTTATGGGATTTGCAGGAACTAACCTGTACGCGGAAGTCTCGGCTCTGTGGAAACTGTGTGCGCGCGGAGGTTAGGAATGTTGTGAAAAATGTAGTGTGGTGCACCGTGGAGAGCAATGAATGTACTATAATTTATTATTTGTGGAATTCTTTATTCAACGAACGTTGGCAGTTAATCATATAATTATACAATGGATAACTTGAATGGTTTTTACGAATGTCCATCACATGGAAAATATCATATATCGTCGACAGTAGCGTCATCCAACAGGTGGTACGCGAGTTCACTAATGAAACAAGACTTAAATCACCCGTTGAGGAAACGTTAACATTCACTGAGAAAAATTCTGAAAAACCTCGTGGTACAATTCGTTCGAAAACAACTCTAACCTATCAAATCACCGTGAATCGAGCATTCGTACCAGACACACTCGTCACACAAGGTTCAACCCACCGAACGACGAGTGGATTAATCAACGTAGCGGCTTTGGAAAAACAGCAATGACACTCGTGTACCGAAAGAGGTTCATCCACGGCGCGGTTGTTCCTTTTCAGGAAGCGTTTAGCGGCGTCGGATCGTTATTACGTTTAATTGGACGTGAATTGAAACGGCGACAGGCGGTGAGGAGGGAGAAGAAAAGGGCCTTGCGAGAGCTTTCACACGCTTTCCTTTCGCAAAGTTTAACGCTTGCACGCTCTTTAAATATGTGCGGCCGTCTTAATCGCTGCACGGTAAAGACCGGCTCGCCTCGAGAGTCCGCTCAAGTACTACTTTTCTTCTTCTAATCTGCAAGTAAGTTGTCGCGCCTTTGTGGCTACACGGTTATTATAATGTGGCCGCGTGTGGGTACCGCTGCGCGCGCATAAACACCAACATGGCGGTCACACGGACGCGGTGCTAATAGCGTCGCCTGGCAGCTCGTGGAAAGACCACAGGGCGTCAATGTTTTTCAGAAAATTAAGGAATGATCGCATAGCGTTTTACTGTTGCGACCAGGGGATTCGTGCTTGAATTTCCAGCGCTGCTCAAAGCTTGAATATTCTTTTAACACTGAATCCGGACAAGTTTCTCGCGGAGAAAGGCGCTTGAATGAGAAAAGGATAAAGTTTTGTGTACAAGTTAGCGAGACTCGTGAGAGAGAAATTAGGAAAGCCTTGGTAAACGTGTGTTGAGAAATTGTTTTAGAGATTATCGATTTGAATTAAATTTGGTATTTGATGACAGAAACTTCGTCACGTTGTAGGTTAACACAGATTTGTCGTCAGTATCGAAAACTTTGAAGACAGACATTTTGTTATGAATCTTAACGGCGCAACATAACCTAACGTAAAATTTAATTATGAACTCCAGGGAGCTAAGTACTTAGTGGATGACAAAAAACCCTTCGTGAAGTAATATTTTATTACTCTTAACTGCTTTCAACAATAAGTGTATCTATATTCGTAGCGTTTCACGAAATACAGTTTAGTTTCACCGAGACACCACCACTTAACGTTCTAAATATTTCACAGGATTAATTAAAATCGAACATCGGCGAAGGTTCGCTAAAACTCCGGTCCAATCTAAATACAAGCATTTAGCTTGACCGTCCGCACGTCTTTGTTCTAATATATGTATACATATCACGATTACATTTTCTAAAAATAATGAGAAAGTTTTTAATAAAAAGCTCGGACCCGTGAAACGGCCGTTCGCGGCTCGGTGATTTAGCGTTAATATTAAATGAGTAAGAACACGTTTCAGAGGAAGTTTTTAATAAAAGTACATTCTGTTGGGAAATTTTCTGCTGTTTTTTGCTTCTCGAAGCTCGATTAAATGCGCGCGCGAACATCAGCCGAATTACTACGTCGAAAGCAGCTCGCGACAACGTGCCGTACTTAAATTTACACAATTTCACGCTTAAATTACGAAACGAAGTAAAGATGCACTTTAAACGGTACTTTGTTCCACTGAAATTATAAATAACGCCTCATCACATCATATTTATATTTACACTTTCGCAGAATATTTATTAAGATACCAGTGATCGCCAATGTTTACGACGATTCGCTTGCGCAACACCGATAATCACATTATAGAAAGAAAAAAGTAAATAATTTTTAAACGTTCTATCGTTTGCTGTATAATTCTTATACAGGACGTGTCAAAGTAATAACGATACAACCGTTGAACACGTAGTCATTCACTATCGATTATTTTCATACTAATTTGTGAACCGAATTTTTCCCAGATTTTCATCGCTCGTTTCGTAGCCCGATTACCGGAACACCCTGTATAAAGTATCAAACGCACAATGCCAATTGTATATTTTCCTTTCAATTATTCCGAATGGGGAACGTTTAAAAAATTTCACGAACTCGAAACCGCCGCGCCGTCGGAAATCTTCGTTGTTTCGTCGTTGAACGACGAGAGGGCGCACAGTCGAAAGTAAGTATAGCATACCGAACAAAAACGCATCGGCACGCTCGAAGTGTTCCATAGAAGCGTAAGAAATATTTTTCCAAAGGATTTCGTCCGGGTAGAAGTTTGCGCATTATTTCTCGGCTTTCTGTACAGCTACGCTGAAAGGAGGAGGAGGTGGACGGAGAAAGAGAGAGGGCAAAAGAGAAGGAGGATTTTATCCCGGACTCAGTCATGTGCAACAAAGGGGTATTGATATGGGCCGTGCTTGTGAAACGGGCCAATAGCTGTGGCCCGCCATTGTCACCCGCGGCCAGATCTATACCGAAGATATCTGCTGTATTCTTCCAACTACAAATTCCCTGGTCAATTTTTTTTTTTTTCTCTCCCTCCCTATCACCGCCACGTATCTTTGCACTTTCTGCCAGCCAACGAGCTAACCAGCCAGCCTTGGCAATACGTCGATTCCAACGGTGGAACATTAAACGCGCATAAAGGCCAACGAGAACAAAGCGGAATCCGTTCGATTTCTTATTACGAAAATTCACTCGGCGGCTTTGTCACCATCGGCTCCTCTTTTGCGTTCCGGTAAATCGTTACGTTATTCGAGTACTTTGATTAATTTTATCCCTTCGCTACCGTCGTTGTTCGTTTGCAGAGTGATGTCAATTTTGCGGGATACTAGTATTTTGGAATGTTGTACAAGGTTAGGTTAGATACTGTTTTGTCAGTCTGTGCTTGCGGAGGTTTGCGGATCAGGAATCACTTTCTTTTGATTTTTAAACGATAAACTGTGAATTTATGGGTCACGAGACTTCTCGATTTATAGGTTAGAAATTTGTGAGAATGAGAGTTCGATCATCAAGGATTAATAAATTATCAATTTTACGGGTTCTCAATATTGAGCGTGAACGAAAGATGTCCTCGAAGCTCTTTCTCTTCCAGTTACAGCAACTTCTAGCGCACTTCACGTAGCATCGATCGAGCTGTAAAATACGGAATAATTACTTGGACTTGGACAAAGTGTATATCGTGAACGCGGCGTGAATAATTTCGTGTCACAATGAATCTAATAACCAGGATGAATGATCAATCCGCTAAATCTGTTATCTGTATCAACGATCGTGAATTATCATAACGAAATCCGTGCAGAAGTGGATGTTGTTATGTCCGTGACATGATATTCAAATGATGAACAGATTGTAGGTCAGCGTTGAATATTTTATGAGTTGTTTGGATGGTGAAGTTGAATTTATTACATAAACTCCACACGACCACGAGCTTGCGACATGATACTTGATGTTAAGGTGATAATACGGTTCGTTACGTTCTACAGAATTTATAACCCACCATCTCCCCCATTCCCCTTCCCTTCTCGTTGCAACAACTTTCGTTCAGAATAATAATTAAATAGCCGCGGCCTGATTAAAGCGAGAGCTTCATTTATCACCGTCCTCCTTTTGTCTCGATCGTTTTTCCCGTCGAAAAGTTTCTCCCCCTCTCGAGTCTTCCGAAATTTTTACCTTCGACAGAGTATCGAGCCCGGACGAAAATTCCATTAAAATTTCACAGCTCGGTGTACGTAGGCTTGATCGATTCGAACACTTTCTTACCAGAAAACGTTCCAAGTATTGCGTTTACGTAGCGAGAATTTCGTAACGTTTTGCATGATCGATGAGCCTCCATGTAAATGCATATTCTTTTATAAGCTAAAGTACATAACCTTTTTTGCAACACGTCTTTCTTCCTACTTTTTTTTATCAGAACGTAGAACTTCAAATATGTCAGAATTTATAGCAGACGAAATAACACGATATTAAAGATTCAAGATAATTTATTCGTACGCTGCTGCACTGGTAAAGTGGTTAAATAATTGAGACACACGAGGTTAGGATACAATGTCGTCGACCTGTATTACTTGTTCGAATAGCATTTCAATTTCGCGAAATTTTCTCGTGAATTATGAGCACCAGATAAAATGTTACACGAAGGGGCAGCATTATGACACTTCGTCGGTAATTCGTGCAAGTAAATTCGCAAGGAAGCTTTACGGCACATCTGTATCTCTCGGTTC